AACCCTCGGCGGGAGCGCCGCTGCACTCCCAAGCGGCGCACTGTAGCAGTGCGCCACCGGGCCGGCCCTTGATCACTCCTTTTTCACAGTAACTTATTACTGTTTTGTAGATGCCAAACCTTCTTAAATCTTTCTGGGAGTAAATATCGTAAGGGTTTTTTTCTTAAGTTCTACCTTTTTTTTTTTTCCTGCTGTTTCCTTTGGAATGTCTCTTTTCATGCTAGTTCTCTCTCCCCCTGCCCCCCACGCTATTAGTAATTCTCAAATGCCTGGTTATCATTGGTTGTCTGTTTATATTTGTAAATGAAGGGCTAGGTTTTAATCAGGAGGTGTGGATTTTCTCTATGGTTCTACAGGTCTGTATCCTACAGACCTCTTTCCTAAACGGGAAGCCTGACTTTAGATGCGGGAGTGGAGAGATGGGCATGAGATGATGAGATGAGGGTGTATTAGTACGTTTTGTGTTGCTATAACAGAAATACCTGAGACTGGGTAATTTATAAAGGAAAGAGGCTTATTTGGCTTATAATTCTGGGACAGCTGCATCTGGCATAGGCCTCTGGCTGCTTCTACTCATGGCAGGTGGCCGAAGGTACAAGCAGATCACATGGTGAGAGGAAGCAAGAGAGAGAGGGAGGTGCCAGGCTTTTTACACAACCAGCTCTCCTGGGAACTAATCAAGCAAGAACTCACTCATTAATCCCCCCTCCCCCAGGGAGAGCATTAATCAATTCATGAGGGATCCGCCCTCATGACTCAATCAGTTTCCAACACTGCCACATAGGGGATCAAATTTCCACATGAGTTTTGGTGGGGACAACACATCCAAACTCTGTCAGACGGGTAGTGCACAGGTGTATACAATTTAAACAAGCATTAATAGTGTTCTTATGCAGATGGTTCTAGGACCTTGCTGAGAGATACTATATTAGCAGATGGGGGAACACAGGTAGGCAGGCTAGCTGGTGGACATGTGCAGGGTCCTTAGTATATTTCACTTCCTCAAGGATGCCTTTCTTTGCTCACCATGACACTTTTCTCAGCATAACTAGAAGCCCCTAGTTCCCTGAAGATTCTGATTGTAGGAGCCCTGGCTTTGGTAGGTGAGGAGGAACGAGGGGTGGGACTGGCCAGGCTTTCACTGAAGTAGTCAACTTAATTCTGGGGGATCTAGTAGGAGATTAGGGTAGGGCTTTTTGTCCTTGACCAGGAGTTATCCAGGGCACTGCCCAGTTCTCTCTCTGGCCCACTGTCCCTTCTGGAAGACTCCCACAGCAGATATTCTTCCTTATTCAGAGAATTGTGCATGTAGCTTTACTCTGTGGCAACCCCGCACCTGACTGTCTTGAAATGGGGACAGGACAGGCCACAGCTTTTTATTCAACCCAAGTTTCTTTTCCCAGAACCCACTGACTCTGATCTTCAGATTACCCAAGGTACTGCTGAGAAAGTTCTCTTTTTCAATGATCTTCTCCTTCACCTATATGAGGATACACACTTGTTCAGCCTTCTTGTGGCTTGCCATCAAGCTGACCCATGTCCTCTATATAGAACACAAATGTCTCACCTTGTGGTGGGCTGATGTCATTTTTTCTGCTTCCCTACTGCTACTATGAATTTATTCTTGTACTTTTTCTGTCATTTCAATAGGATTTAGGGAGAATATAAGAGGCAAACACAGATGTTCAGTGTTCTGGCCCATATTTTGATCAATTCATGATCTTTCCTGTTGCTCTCATTACGTCACTGAATGCTGTTGAATTCAGAAGTTTTGAGTTGAAACCAGCTCAATGAGGCCTAAAAATATGACTGGGGGATTGTAACCCAGAAGCTTCTGGATTCTTTATGGAGATTTTTTTCAGAGCCTTAGGGAAAATCTCAGAGGATTGTTGGATTAAAACTGTGTTAGATTTAAGGGGAATGCATATGGTTTCATTGGGTTCTCTGATAGGTCAATTGTTGGCTCAGAAAGATAAAATGAAAAGAGAGATTACCTGAGCAGTGTGGATTCCAGAGGACAAAGTGTCCTCTTATCAAGGTGTTGGGTCGTGACAATGGTGGCTCAACAGAATAGAGGGACAAAAACCAAGACTTTCCTTTCTAACCAAGCATCTGGTCACTCACAGAAGGTCTCTGAGGTCTTGGAGGGGACAAAGGCATGTTATATCTAGGTTAATTGTACAATATAAACATTATTTTCACAGTTCTGCAAAAACAGCATGTTCTTTTTTGCTTCCTTGCTTAGTGTGGTATCCTCTCCCAGAAATGACCTCCTCTCAACTCTGCCCAGCAAAATTCAACCCAACCTCAAGGATTTAAATTAGGTGTTACCATAAAACCTTCCGTCATCATCCCAGCCAGAGGGACCCATCTCCCTTTCTCTGGAATCCTGAAAAGATATTTATTGTCACTCAAATAGACTATTATTGAGTCACTGCTTTATGTTATGCATTGTGTTAGGCATTATGAAAACCATAAGAAGAAAACACACTAGATTCCTGCCCTTCAAGAATATTTCAGTCCACAGAGAAGACTAAATATAAAAATAAGATATGACACTTGAGTGCAAGAATCATGTCTAATTCATCACTAGGTCTCCAAATTTTTATGTAATTTTAAAGGGAAAAGATGAGGCTGATTATATTGTAGGCAACCAGCCTGGGACTCAAGCCCTATGCCCCAGTGGGACTGCCCAAGGGCTGAAGAGACTAATATATTGAAGTACACCAGTCAGAAAGCTCTATATTAGGGCCGGCCTGTGGCTCACTCGGGAGAGTGTGGTGCTGATAACACCAAGGCCCCGGGTTCGGATCCCATATAGGGATGGCCGGTTAGCTCACTGGGTGAGCATGGTGCTGACAACACCAAGTCAAGGGTTAAGATCCCCTTACCAGGGCCGGCCCGGTGGCGCACTGGAGAGTGCGGCGCTCCCACCGAGGGTTCGGATCCCATGTGGAGACCGGTTCCCACTCACTGGCTGAGCGCGGTGCAGGCGCAACACCGAGGGTTGTGATCCCGTTACCGGTCAGTAAAAAAGAGACAAAAAGGAAAAAAAAAAAGATCCCCTTACCAGTCATCTTTTTTAAAAAAAGAAAGAAAGAAAGCTCTATATGAGATAAGGGTTTCTGAGACTTAAGCATGCATAAGAATCATTAGGAGGGCTTGTTAAAACACAGATTGCTCGGTCTCACCTCCAGAAATCTGGCTCAGTAGCAAGAGTTGGAACCAACCCAAATGTCCATCATCAGATGAGTGGATACGGAAAATGTG